GGACATGTGGAAATTAGTTATCTAAATATCTCCTTAAAACTAGAAATTTGGGCATGGAATGAAATATTACTCTGGTGAAATTCCATTTTGTTTTCTTTGGAAGAAGAGTGCCAAGCCAGTGAACAATGTGATGATTCTAATGCAGCACTCAGCTGATTGATTCTGGGAACTTCTGAAATGTGACATATCCTGCTCTTTGATTGGTTTCGGGATTTGGGTATTGGGTTGCCTGACTACGGCACTTAAATGTGTTTATTTTTAATAGGATTGGGTTCCAGAAATGGTGGATAGCACTAAAATGATGCTGGACAGGTGGGAGAAAGAAAGAGGAGAAAGAGATGAATTTGAAGTGGACGTGTTTAAAGAACTGCATAACCTCTCAGCTGATATCTTATCAAGAACAGCTTTTGGAAGCAGCTTTGAGGAAGGGAAGCGTATTTTCCAGTTACAAGACCAGCAAGCGAGCCTTGTTTTGCAGGCCATAAGAAGTGTATACATACCTGGATTCAGGTATTACTCACTCCCCTCATGCCGATAAAATGCTAGAATCTTGTTCCTTTCTTATCATCGGAGGGTAGTTCGACAAAAACTTTTGATATTGGACCAGTAATTTCAAACATTTGGAAAATCCTGACAACAAGAGCTGATATTCAACACCCATCTGTTGTGTGCTACTGTCAAGAACTTGATTTTCCAGAAAAGTTATGGCAAATGGTATGCCAAAGTTGCCAGAATTGATTTGGTCATGTTCCAGGCCATCAAAACAAGATAACGTATTAAAAGTTTTTGCGTGTCCTTTGATAATGTTGTTCACATTTATAACAAGAAATTCGGCATGGAGGTGGCTTGATTAGTGATTCTATTCTTTCCAAGGAATCACTAGTTTTTGGTAATTTGGCAGTAAGACTAAGTGCTACCTTTTTCTCATTGTCTGACCATGTAACTGGATGCAGGTTTTTGCCAACGAAGAAGAACAGAATGAGGAGAAGGTTGGAGAAGGAAACTCGAGACTCAATTAGGAAATTGATTGGCAATGGTACCAATATTCAGGAAAACCCAAAAGCTTTGCTTGCATTACTAATGTCTCCATACAAGAACCAGAATGATGAACAGGAGAGATTGAATGTGGAGGAAATCACAGATGAATGCAAGACATTCTATTTTGCTGGAAAGGAAACAACTGCTAATCTCTTGACCTGGATATTCATCCTTTTAGCATTGCATCAAGATTGGCAAAACGAGGCAAGGGAAGAGGTCTTAAGCACATGTGGTGACAATAAACTTCCCTCTGCAGAGAATTTAGCTGACCTCAAAATCGTAAGTTCAGTTTTATGTCATCCTATCACCTTCAGTTATTAGGCTTGAAATGAAATCCATATCTTGCTTCACCAGTTCTGTTGCTTAAGATGGTACTGAAAATTGTTTTAACTAGCTAGTAAAAATGGTGGACGACTTAGTAATGCTTTTTTTATTCTAGTGACCATAGTCCATTTATATTGCTCTGAATGTAACTTTGTTATTGGCAGACTCGGCACAATATTTGTAAAATGTGTTTTCCAAAATTTTGGAGCACTTTGATTTGCAGAAGCTAAGCAGGATAAGCTTTTGGTTAAACATGGTTTTTACTATTTTGAACTTCAAAATCACTCTAAGCCTGGTGTTTAGAGTTTGGTTCTGATGTACATTCTGTTCATTGACAGGTGAACATGATTATAAACGAAACTCTGCGACTTTACCCCCCAGCTGTGATGTTGATGAGGCAAACATCTAAGGATGTCAAGCTTGGGAGCCTCGACATTCCAGCTAATACCCAATTCTATTTGGCCATGACTTCTGTACACCATGACCCTCAAATATGGGGAGAAGACGCAAACAAATTTAACCCTCTGAGATTCGCTAACACTAGAAAGCATATAGCTTCATTCTTTCCATTTGGATTGGGTCCAAGAATTTGTGTTGGTCAGAATCTGGCTCTGGTTGAGGCAAAAATTGTCCTGGCTGTTATCATCAGACAATATTCTTTCGTGCTTTCTCCATCTTATGTTCATGCTCCCATGCAAACTATGACCCTACAACCTCAGTACGGTGCACAGATTATCTTTAGCAGGATTCAACGCTGAGGTTTACACGTTTCGAGTGTTCCTTTCTTTTTCTTTTGTTTTATTTCCTTTCCCCAAACAGGTTTAAGCGTATTTATTCCTATATGTTAGCGGAGTACGTGCGGTTTTCTTATGTAATTGTAAATAGAACTGTAAAAGTGCCTGTAACTGCAGCACCATATACGTTTTGTGATCGAGATTAGGAGAATTTAGTTAGGCTAAACCAAAGAGAAAAGTTAATTTGTTTTGTCTGTTTACATTTTACGCAATTTTCGCCCTTTACAGCATTTCATTCAAGATCAATGTTTAGAAACAAAAAAGATGAGTGATTAACTGAGGTATGGGATCTGCATTCTGAAGAAATGAATTGCTGAAACGTTTTTATATATCTTTGTTGAATCCATTTCCTTGCACATTTATATCCTTTCATCGAATTGGTGCCATTCTGATTCAGTTCTGTAGTATCTTTGATGGTTATCCTTCTTTGATAGGCGCATTTGCACTTACTTTCCCAGCTTTATCATAAAATTTTGGTAAAGAACCATAGAACCCAAATGTGATCTTCCAAAAGGTTTACTTCCTAGTTCCTACAGCTACATGGAGGTTCAATCACCCCTCTTCAATTCCTCCAAGTTCCTGCCTCCAGTCTGAAAAAGCTGATCACTTTATCGTTTTCGTTTTTTTTTTTCCCAAAGAAAAAAAGATAGCACTCTAGCAGTTGCTACATATGTGAGTTCACAACATGTTCCTTCTTTAATTCATTTCATTCATATTAAAATGCCCTTTAAAAGATCTTCAAAAATAAGTTGCTGTCAACATATTTATTGCTTCAAGCTCGGTTGTTTGTATCACTTCACTTGACTTACTTAGAATGTATATTAATAATAAAATGAGATGGAAAAGAGGAGTGAATTTGTGCATAAAAATAAATAAAATAAAGCAATCTACGTCAATATCCGTTAAATGGTTATTACGATTGTTATAAAGTAAGACCAACCTTTTCAGAACATAGAAAAGAAATTCTCTTTTTGAGCATTGCAAGAAATTGTATGATCAACTATTAGATGATTATGTGAGAGTTATCAAACCAGGCGTGCATGTCAAGGTTTTTTTATATGCATTCTAGAACTCATTTCGAGAATGATCTCATCTCAAGTGCGGAAGAAGAGAGCTTTTGCAATCCCACAGAAAATCCACATTACATGGAGGAGGCTATAGCTAAATCAAAAGCAAAAATATTGTAAGATAAACGTATTCTTGTCCTTTCTTGTATTTTTCGAAGGAAAATGTTAACAATATCCCACTTTTTATTAATGGCACTCCCACTATTTATTTTATCACATAGTCTAATAAACGAAAATCATATTATATGATAAGAATCATAATGCAAGTGCCATTAACAAAAAGTGGAGTGTCATTACAAATATTTTTTTTTTTTTGGGATTGCTTTCATCAGAAATTTCCCTTTGCAAAACTTGGTGGTTTATCCCACCAACCATCATCATCTAAAGTTATTGGCAGATCTTGGCCAGCATACAAGCCACATTTTAATACTCTTTTAACGTAGACTTTTAGTGATTGAGCTTTTTTATTTGGGATAGATTCCTTTTTTTCTGCTATTTGTTCTCGTTGGTCCATTATTCTCGAACTTGACCTAAGAATTATTAAATACCTAAAACTTCTCGTCCATTTCCTTGGAACATGGACGGGTGCACATGCCAATTTAACTTTTCAAAGCGTTTTGATATTTTATTAGTTTCATTAAGCAAATTAAAAATGTGAGTAGGTAAAACAGTAGTTGATTTCTTTTGAATATTTGAACTAATCATAGAACCGACTTGAGATCAAATTTAAGGCTTCATTCATCGTATTAATGGGTTAAAGCAATACAACCAAAAACAAAACAGTGGCCTTGACACAATTTTAATCATGGATTTTGGCAAATTGGGTTGTGATGCAAAGAAATAAATTGTTTAGATACTTAGTTTATAAAATTATGCCATTGTTAAATGTACGTATCTGTTTAAAAGTTTTGTGTACGATCAATTATTAATCAAGTATGTCCAACCACTCTTTCTCAACCACTTGCGGCGGCTAACAGTTGAATACATTTTTGTTTTGGGTGGCGCAATTTAAAATTAGTATACATGATGCTAACTAATCAATCGTTGATTTGCTGCTCAACCACTATAATTTAGTATTTGTCGGGTGAAATAATTTATTACCACGACATAAAGAGATTTAGTGTAATCTTTCCTACACTAAAAGTATATACATTATCATCGTTGGATTCATGACATGTGTGCAAAAGTTAAATTTTAAATTCAAATTTTACACAATTATCATTCATCTAACGCTGATAGTGTATACACTGTCAGTCAGTGTAGGAAAGATTAATCATATATATTGGTAAGCTATCTTAATTGTTTCCTGTCGACGCTAGCTGCTAAAGGAGGAACAGCGGATCATGTTTTCTGGATATTCTCCGCACGAATGTGTGCTGACTTCATTTTCAAGGTTCTTCATGATTATGAATACAGAAAATGTTACCGTCCCTCCTTTAGAGTACGATATCCATGATTCTAATATGCTTATATCTTGTCTAATCATTTAGTGATTTAAACTCTTAAAGTAATTTAATTATGATTGATAACTCTTATAATGTATTCAGTGGTAAATTTAATTTCATCGGTATACCATACAATCTAATAGTATGATTTCTATATTTATTTTGAGTTAATTTTTATAATAATTTAGTACAATTTAAAGGCTGGGCCTTGGGTTGAGAAGAAGTTGAAAAAAAAATAAAGTTCATAAAAAAATAAATTTTTAGCATGCAAAATTGAATTGGTGCTAGATAAAAATACCCCAGACAATTAGTAGGGTTTACCTCAGACAATAATGTGTGCTATGTGCAAGTTTTTGCCTGCATATGACAACAGAATGAGCTGGGCAATATTGAAGAAAATTCGAAACGCAATTAGAATGATCATCAATGAAGAGAGCAAAATAAATCAAAATTCGAAGAGTCTGATAAGCCTGTTTGCTTCAGAGGGATTGCCGGTGGAAAAAAAAATCATGGATGAATGCCAGACATTCTACATTGCAGGAAAGGAAACAATTGCTATTTTATTGGCTTGCGCGATACTGCTACTGGCGTTGCATCAAGATTGGCAAGACAGGGCACGAGAAGAGGTTTTCCGAGTTTGCAAGGACGGTGATCTTCCGAGTTTGGAAGATTGCAAGTCCATTTCCAAAACTTGCCCCGTTTCACATATGAATCTTTATTTACACTGATATACAAAAATAAATAATTTTGATGTTATGCCCCAACTTTTTGCCAAAATTTGACGCAGCATCCTCCAGAGTTTAATATATAAACTCCCCCACCACCCCCCCCCCCACCAAAAAAAAAAAGCGAATAAAAAAGGGATTAATCTTCTATACACTGACAGTGTATACACTTTCACTATTAGATGCATGACACATAATCCGAATTTGAATTTAAAACTCAAATTTTGTATATGTGTCGTATATCTAACCGTGATACTGTATACACCGTCAGTGTATATAAGATTTACTCATAAAAAAGAGCAAAACTTAACGCCTAAGTAAGCTAGTTTATGCAGAAGTTAATTATGGCGTCTTTTTGATTGTCAGTTGACCATGATAGTGAACGAAGCACTTCGACTCTACCCTCCTGTTCCATTCCTGATGAGGCATGCTGCTGAGAATGATCAAGTTGGGAAAGTTAGACGTTCCAGCTGGTACACAATTCTACTTGGCCCCCGTGACAGTGCACATTTGCTGGGCAAGTTGTAATATATATCGGGTGTAGTAAATTCTTCTTAAAAGCTAGTTTGATGCATCGATCTCTTTGATTTTGATTTTTGTTTTCAACTTATATTAAACATTGAAAATTGATTTTCTAATCCAGTTTACCATTTTCCTCTAAAATTGAGATGTAAAGATCAAGCAATATGCAGGGGAACGAAGAAATGCTAAAATAGGTGGGAATCCATGCAAATAAAATTGCAGAAAAATTGGAGAGGAAGTACTCCAGTTCTACTTGTCATACACATTAGGTAAGGTGATGAATAGGCCTCTGTTACGGGTATCATTTGCTGGCAAGATTGGTCGGTTGGTAATTAGTTGCTTATAATTTCCTGCTATTTGATTCCTGATTCTGATCTATTAGGAACTAAAATATAGCATACACAGCCATACGCGACTGCCAGAACCACTTTTTTGGGATAAATTACCTTTTATTCCCCATAGTTTGGTGCTTTACCACATAAAACCCTATAGTTTAAAAATCTACATATAACTCCCTCATAGTTTGGATTAATTATCACAGTTAGTTTTTCCATTAAATTAATGATCATTAGTAAAAAGTCGAAGATAACTAATAAACTGATAAATTTATCCTTTCATTATTTCTTTTTTCCCTCCAAACATAGAAAAGAAGAAATTTAAATAAAAAATAGATAAATAAGAAATTGAAAATACTATTAATGGTTTGGTTTAAAAACCTATAAGGATATTTGTAGTAAAAAAAAATGTTTGGTATTTTTTGTTTCTTATTTATTTGTTTTATATTTCCCTTCCATCTCTTTTGTTTCTTATTTATTTATTTTTTATTTCCCTTCTATCTCTTTTATATTTCCTCAAAATTAAGATTTGATAGGCCAAATTAAAGTATAGGTTTTCAAAATCATCTCTTCTCTTCCCGAGAGAGAGAGAGAGAGAAGAAAAAAAAAGTAGTGAAAGGATGAATTTACAATTTATTAGTTTGATTTTGATTTTTTACTATTAACTATTAGCTTTTACAGAAAAACTAACGGTGATACTTTATTTCAAATTATGAGGGGGTTATATATAAGTTTTTAAATTATAGAGGGTTTATGTAGCAAAGAACTAAATTAAGTAAAAGGTACTTTATCATTTTTTTAGTCTGGAAAGACAAGTATACTGATTAAATCTTCTTTTGCTATTCTATTATTTAGAAGCAAAATTCAATAGCCAAACAAAAAAAAATTCTTTCAACTTTTGACCAAAAATTGCTACAGTATTGCAATATTTAAGGAGGAAGGACCGTCTCGTCTTCGTCTTCACAGTTCACATACTGGTTCAAGGTGCAGAACTCCCAGGAGACTACTAGTAGCCAGATTTTAGAGCTAGGGGATACTGTACTTCTTTTGCTCTCAAGTCTGACCAACACAATGCATCCCTTCTTTCTTCCAATTTTGATGGTCCTTTTACTACTACTAATCCTCTTGATCAAGTTCATATACTCCATACTTTGGGTCCCCTACAAAATCCAGAGACACCTATATAAACAAGGCATCAGGGGCCCTGGCTACCGTCCGATTGTAGGAAATTCTGCCGCGTTCAAACAGGAATACGATGCAACATTGAACAAACCGATGGCATTTTTCAGCCATGACATAGTCCATCGTGTGGATCCATGTTACCACAAGTGGACTTTCATGTATGGGAAGACCATGCTTTTCTGGCATGGCTCGACCCCGCGGCTGGCTCTAGCCGATCCAGAAATGATAAAGGAAGTTTTGCTGAATAAATCCGGGCACATCGTAAAGGTCAAGCTTACACCACTGGCTGAGCAGCTCTTTGGGAAGGGACTCATTGATTTGCACGGTGAAAAATGGAGTATCCACCGAAAGCTCGCCAATCCAGCCTTCGTCATGGATAGAGTTAAGGTGATGTTCATAATATTAGTACATATTTTCTTCTTTTTTTTTGTCGTTTATATTTTAATAGAGACATACTATAGTGTTGAACTCAATATTTTTGAATATCCCTTGGCACTGGTCGCAGGGTTAGGATCATTTCTATTAGACTTCTCTCCATTGTTCTCTCCATTTATTTATATATGTAATTTTATAACTTCACAAATTCATCCGATTGTGTCATTATTTTGATTAAATCTCAGATCAACATACTAAAAAGCGATATTCTTTTGCGAATATTTGGCATTCAATTTGTACGTAACATTTGAACAGTGAAAAACGAGTCAAAATTGTAACAAAATACGTAATATTTAATTAGAAGGAAAATTCGGTCAATTTCATACGAAATTTAATGTATAACTAATACAAGTGATGAAATATATTATTAACGATGTTGATTTTCAAAAATAATTTTTAAATTAATTTTATTGGAGTGTAATGGAGAGAAATTCTATTCAATGCAATGAAGAGATGCTTAGTCCCTTGTTTGCATCAGCATTCCTCACATCTCATTGGTTTTTGGCATTGCAGAAAATTTATTTGCCGCACACAACAGAAATTTCCTTTATCAATTTATTTTCTCTTTTCAGCCACAGTTTTGGAATTTTAAATTCATGGATGGGGTCCTGCTCAAATTTATGATATTAGACTATTAGAGGGTTGTCTGCAAGTATCATTGATCACAGTTGAAACATTGAAGAGGACACTTGTAGCTAATTTAGGGATTATATATATAGTTCACGGGATTCGATGGGATTAGTTTAGTTTGGACGGATAAAACAGCTTTATGTTGTTTCGTGTCTTCATTTGTAATGTTTCTTTCAACCATGGTTTCTCTAATCATACGTGAAATTTATTTTGTTATATGTAATCCAATACCCCATAAGAGCTTACTTTCTTTTTTTTTTCCGAAACGAAATCAAACCCACACACACAATAATGCAAACAGACACGCAGGAGTTAGCAGCAAACCGATCCGAAGGTAATCTAAGCGGGACCCACAAGACACAACCATCCAGCCAATTGGTTAAGAGCTTACTTTCTTTAGTGGGGGTTAAATTATGCTTATTTACCTTATGATACAGTAAAAAGTCGAGGCCCTTTATCTAGTTTTATAGAATTTCGATGATTTCCCCATCAACATTGTTATGCTTTAGGTTTCTTAATCCTATGATATAGTTTTATAACATAGAGCGGCTATAGGCATAGGCACTGGTCCAGGGGCTTCTTCTTCCGTCGGGGGCCGATATTCATTGCATCCATGTATTTAGATACTTTTTTAAATTAATAATAATTTAACCAAAAAAAAAAAAAAACTAATACCTGTGGCCCTTGGGCACCCTATGGCCAAACCTTTTTTTTTTTTTTGGGGGGGGGGGGGGGGGGGAAGGTATTCTATCTTCTTTTAAGTGGAAATGCTGGCTGCTATGCAATATTTTTCTTTTAATTTTTTCCGGGTAATGCAGGCGTGGGTTCCTGAAGTTGTGGAAAGCACTCAAGAGGTGCTAAACAAGTGGGAAAATGGGATAGGAGAAAGAAATGAAATGGAAGTGGATGTGCTCAAAGAGTTTCATATACTGTCTGCAGAAATTTTATCAAAAACAGCTTTTGGTAGTGACTTTGAAGAGGGAAAGCACATATTTGAACTACAAGACCAACAAGCCATGTTGACCTTAGAGGCGCTGAGGACCATATACATTCCCGGTTTCAGGTGATTATTATCGATCGGTATATTCTTTTTTTTGTTTTTTTGTTTTTTTAATGTGTGCTCCCAGTATGAATGATTACTTTCATATAATTATTGACCTGTCTTGTAAGCAACAAATCAGCCAGTATTCTTGTTAAATTTTGCAGTCAATTATTCTATTGATTGTGTGAACTAATTATGCAACAATTAATGCATAGGTAGTTCAAGTCAAAAGATAATTTTCTTTTGTGTTTGTTGACTATGGACTACCTCAGCCAAATTCAGTTGAAATACAGGTTTCTGCCTACACGCGACAACAGGATGCGGTGGAACGTAGAGACGGAAACTCGACGTTTGATAAAGAATTTGATTTATAGAGAAAAGAAAACGGGAGGGAACTCAAAATGTCTGCTTAGCCTCTTGTTATGGGGTGGGTTGCCGGTGGAAGAAGTCATTGATGAATGCCAGACGTTCTATTTTGCTGGAAAAGAAGCTGTTGCCATATTTTTGACTTGGACGCTTGTGCTTCTGGCGTTGCACCAAGAATGGCAGATCAAGGCAAGGGAAGAAGTTCTTCAAGTTTACAGCAACGATAAGGTTCCGAATGCAGACAGCCTAAGTGACCTGAAGATTGTAAGTCCAATCCTTCTGCATTTCAGATGCAAGCAATTTTAATAATTCTTGATGGGAAACTCTTGATTTACAGCCCTCAGTGATTGGACCATGAAACTGTCTTAAAAATATCAAATCTTAAAGATGTGTTTCTCACGAAAACTTTTCTAATTCTTTCAAATCTTAATCCTTCGCCATTTCATGATTCATGCGCTGCTCTTGATTAACCAGGTGGGTATGATACTTAACGAAGCACTCCGGCTCTACAATCCGGTTCCAGATTTGTTCATGGAAGCCACTCAGAATATCAAAGTGGGAAACCTTGATGTTCCGGCTGGTACACAGATCTACGTGCCTGTGACTGCAACTCATCACAGCACCGAGATATGGGGAGCGGATGCAAATGAGTTCAATCCGCAAAGATTTGCTCAGCCTCGAAAGCATCTCGCCTCATTTTTCCCATTCGGCATAGGAAGCAGGATTTGCATTGGTCAAAATTTTGCGTTGATGGAGGGGAAAATTATCCTAGCTATGATTCTCAGACAATTCTCTTTCGCATTGTCACCATCCTATGTTCATGCTCCTGTCACATTTCTCACCGTCCAGCCTCAGTTTGGTGCCCAGATCCTTTTCAGGAGGCTCTCAGGCTGATCAATCGTTGCGAAAGAAGAATCTGGTGACAATAAAGTTATTCATTTGCATTAGTAGTTCTCTGTGTAATGATGGTGCTACGCTCTATGTACGCCTCAAAACCATGAATGTCATTTCGTCCC